ATAGATATAATTCAGCCCCCAAGAGAAAATTCTTAGACTCCACCGCTGCATGCATGCATTAAAATGAGCCGATTGAGCTATTGTATTGGTTGGATACCGACCTCGAATGGGACCCATCTGGGTGGGTTGAGCCTTGATTTCTCGGTTATAGTAACAGCCACTGCCACGCACAAAACAAGGGTAGCACCAGAAAGAAAATCACATTCACTAGTAAGTAATAACTTCTAGGTCTGTGGGGTCTGTGGACCGATTTATGAAATTGAAACCGGATTAGATTCGTCATTGAAGTTGACCTGATCAAAATTTCCACGATTAATAGTTAATTCACTCTCTGTTGAATGGTTTGGTAGTGCTGTTGACTCATGGTCATTTTCAGCTGAGAGAACCTTGAGCTTTGAGTATGTCATGAGAAATATTTTTAATGCATAGAACGGTGTGGGCACAAGTTTGCTTTGATGGAAGCCGATCTCAAACTAACTATTGTTGAAAAATAAAAAAATTGCATTTGAATTGAATGTTTTGAGAAATCTTTGTCCATTCAAATGCAGCCTCACGTACGCACTACTCTTGGATTAACGTTCATACAAAATCATTAATTTTAATAATCAAAAGTTGTGTGAATTGGTCCCAAAGCAGAGGAAAACTTGCTCATGAGACAGGATGCATGAGGACGTAGACAATTTTGGATTTTTGTTATTCCTGTTTTTTCCCTGCAATGAACCATCCTTTGTTTGTTTGTAAAACAACAAAAATATTTGTATCTTATGCGACTTGTCAATATTACTCAAGTACCTCATGAACATTGCAAGCATCTTTCTTCAAATCAAATACATGTCCATACAAATATCCAGAACAAGAAAAAGTTGTCCTCCTTATTAACATTTCTTTACCCAGTAAAAGTTAATCAAATCATCAAAGATTTTTCGATACCATATCTTCCTGGTATCATAGATTTTTCAGGAAAAAAAAGAAGAAAAATTAGGATATATTAAATGGGTCGATATGGATCATGCTATGATGTAGAATTTGGCATAATAAAACCCTTTCAGCTGCCCTCTTACAGGCACAAAAACTCAGGATTGCTTGGGATTAAATGTGGAGACATTAATAATATATTTTTTTTCACACCATGATGACTATAAGAAGAAATATATAGAAATAGAATCTTGGGAATTAAGGGTAATGGTGATCGGATCTCTATTATGGGAGAGGTATCTGAATATATTTGCACAAAGTTTGAGGAGATATTTAAATTTGATGGTCCAAATGTCATTGACAACTTTATTAGTAAAATTGACAATTGTATTAATTTTGATCAAAATAAGAACCTTATTAAAGAAGTTTCAAATGAGGAAATATATCAAGCGCTTTAAAGCTCTAGGTCTGAATGGCCTTAATGTGCTATTTTTTTTTTAAAATGTTATGGTCAACCATAGGGGATTAAGTTTGTAAGTTGGTGAAGACCTTTTTCCATTATTGGGGATAATGAATAAGATTCTAAATGAAACATTCATCACTCTTATCTTAAAGACAATTAACCCTAATTTTGTCAACTGCTTCAGACCAATTAGTTTGTGTAATATGGTTTATAAGATCGTTCCTTTGGATTATATCATTTTTTCATTCTAAAGTGATTTTGTGCCCAACAAATAAATTAATGATAATTTCCTCATTGCACTATGAAATGATTCATTCTATGAGGAAGAAGGAAGAAAGGCAAATCAAGTATTATGACTTGCAAAATTGACATATAGAAATCCTATGACCACTTTGAACGAAACTTTATTGAGAAAATAATTCATAAGTATGGCTTTCACGATAAATGGGTTAGGTAGGTAATGGCTTGCCTAAAAATGGTTTCCTACAAAATTATGATAAATGCTTCTCCAATTAGGGTTATCTACCCAACTAGAGGGATTAGGCAGGGTGACCCCCTCTCTCTATACATTTATGTTTTTTCGTGTTGAAACTCTTACTATAAATATTGAGAATGAGATGGCAAACCCAAGTAGCCAAATTGGAGTTCAAATATCTAGGGGTAGTCGTTACATCTCGATTTATGCAATTTGTTGATAATTGTCTCATTTTACAAAATCAACTATTCCTACTCCTTTGAAAATTAAAGAGATCCTCAACAACTTTGCTTTGCTTTGGATTTTGGTCAATTAACAAATTTTGCTAAATCGACTATTAGATCTCTAAAAAAACATCCCCAAAGGCTCCAAAGAATTATGGCTATGATGCTTAGGATCCCCTTAGAATCCAAATTTAGTGTTATGATGCATTGATTTATTATGAGCTCCCTTCAAAGTCCCAAGAAATATCATTGAGGGATTAAATAAGAGCTTACAGAATTTGGAGACATAGGACCCCTTTCAAAATCAAAACGTTATATTTCTTTCTTCTTAACTATAGAATAGACTCCCCGCGAAAAAGAAAGTTGGATAAAAGGTTTCCAAATTGATGGTGCTTGTTGCCTTTTTCTGAAAATGACAGGGATGCGGATCACGTATTCAGTAAATGTCCATTTGCAAAACAAGTATGGCTGGTGGCCACTAATAATTCCCTAGTTGGGCCGGATGAGAATGATAACAACATTAGAATATAATGGGAAAAAGTTGGATAATTTTGAAGAGAACAATAATCAAATTAAGGAAAAAAAAAGTGCTTTAGTTCTTTGGTTTCTATGTAAACTGTAAATGATAAAATTTTAATAATAAAGGTTCCCCCCTTCCCTTATTCTTGACTGTGTGTTGAATTTGTTTTTGGATAGTAAAAGGAGCTACAATCTAATTGGGGAAATAGACAATAAAAATAGTTGGAAGCATATTATTTATAAGTGTCTAAATGATGATGATGTAATTAAAATTAATTTCAATGCATCTCAATCAAATGATGGCTATTGTGCTACATTATGTGTTGTCAAAGGTGCATATGGGAAAACATTAGAGGTGAAAGCATATTTTATTGATAATGATACCATTAAACTAGCGGAAGATTGGGCTGCTTGGGCTTGGGAGGCCCATAATGTGGTTTTGAATTGCTTGGGAGACTCTCTTCTCCCCATTTCATGCCTCATTGAAGACTAATGTACCATGGAGACTAAGGACCATTTATGGAGGAATGCTGGAAGGCTCGTGATATGTTAAGTTGGAGAGTGGGGTATCATCACATTTACCGGGAAGCAAGAGAACCTCTTTCTTATATGGGCTCTCTCTCTCTCTCTTATGTAATGATAATATTCCCTGTTTTTTAGCTGCTATTTATTATGGAGATTTGTGAGGCTGAGCTAACCCTTCTTGTGTAGCTCATCCATCCAATTGGAATCTGCTACTCAGAGAGCTCTAGTCACACTCACCTACGGCATCCCACCATGTATTGAGAACATTTTCTATGAATAATAACATATAAGTGCTGAAGATGTTTCTTATGGTGCATTTGGTATATGTTGTGAGGTTGATGTTAAGAGCAAATCCAAACTCGTTGGGTGTATGATATTAATTAATTATAGGGTAAGAGTGAGAGAGAGTTGATTAATTGTAATCCCCTGTAAAAGAGACAGGTAACTTGTTAAATCTATATTATATATAAAAGTGATAATACAATGTGATTTTTTTTTGGAATAAAGTTATCCTATACTTATTTGTTTGAGAAAGGGTATAAAAGTCATTTTATTACAATTTTAATGTTAGCCTTTATGGTTACTAGAATGCCCATAATTGTGTATTTAATCAATTTTTAATGGTATTGGTTGAAAATGTAACTTCAATTATTAATTCCCACCTTATTTAATCCCATTTCATTCATGAAGTCTTATATTTTAATTATCAACTCCCATTTTTTCTTATTAAATCCGATACTTAAGTTATTTTTTGCTAATAAATGCTACTAATTAGATTTATATTAATATTTTTAACAACATAAACCCATATATTTTAAAATTGACTAAAAAACAAAACCATTCATTGTCTAATTAGTGGCTAAGAAATTCAACCATCCGAATCAAATTGATCAACCTATGAAGCCATAATTAGGTAATAAAATTTTTAAAATAAGAATAAATATAGAAAGTTACAAAAATGTAAAAAAATACACATTTATGATATTTTTATTAATTAAATTAAAACAACAAGTTTAATAAATAATACTTATTTTTATTGATAATGAAAATGAAATACATAGTTTAAAACTAACCAAAATTAAAATGATTTTAATGTTTGAAAAAAAATCAATAGTTCAACTTTTGGGTCAAATGTGTTAACATTTAATGTCATAAATAAATAATAAAAATTAATAAAATATAAAAATACAAAAATGGAAAAAATAAATAAATTTTGCAAAAAGAAAAAGATTCAATCACATGTATAATATCATATAATTATCATATTAAACAAAAATGTAAGTATGACATATCAAAATTATTTCTACACACATAAATACAAAAAAATATAGAAAAAATTGAATACATGTATAATTCTATATTTGCACTACTATTAAAAATATAAATAAGATTGTGAAACTTTCTTCCGACTAAAATAATAATTTTTTTGATTTAGTCCCTATTTAATTGTGACAATTAAATTGTAAATTGAACTACTATTGTTCACATTATTCCCCTCTATTTAAATTTTACATTTTTTTGATAAATGAACAAAAACGATAAAATATTATAAAAAGAAGAATCTAGTAAAGCAGATAGGCCTATCAATGATACTTGAAACTTCACAAATCGATCAAATTATCACATATTTGAATGAGATATTTATGTAATTAGATTTTAATTTTGCAATTTACATATAATTAATAATAAAAATTAAAATAAAAAAATATATTTATAAAAATTTATAAATAGATTATTATTATCATGATTTAGAATTATTTTAAAAATCGACTCGGGCGGGTACCCGCAGGCCGGAACCTGGTGGCAGCGGGGTTTGATCCGAGTCTGCTACAACCAGCGAGTGAACTTACCAACTGACCCACCATTAACATCGATTTTATCGAATCGAGAAAAGGAAAATAAAAAAGGAAAATTGTCTCACGCAGAACTCCCGTTTCGCCGTTCCCATCGCTTGCTCTCGCCGGAAGCTCCTAAACGATGACTACTCTCGGAAATGCATTTGTGTCCACCAGCAATTCTCAAACCCAGTTATCATCATCAGGTGATTTCCCTCTTGAAATTTGTACTTCCTTCTTTTATCCCATTACCCTTGTCCGTTTCTTTGATAATCTACTCGATTTCTTATGATCTTGCAATCTAGTTTCTCTTCAAATTCGTTGCTGTTTGGTTCGTCCTCTGGCTTTCTTTTTCATGCATTCTGTTATTTACAGTACTGTTGAAACCGCCTCTTCTTCTTCTTCTTCTTCTTCTTCTTCTTTTTTCTGATTTAGTTGGTGCCGGATTAAATAGAAATGTCAGGAGATGGACTACGATCTCTATGCTTAATCCAATCCAACCGTGTCCATAGTGTTATCCAGTTAATTCTGTCACATTCCAGTCAGTAGTTTATAAATGCTGTGAGCTTGCTGAAGGTAAGGAGTGAGTTTGCACAATATCCATAGTAAGAATGAGACTGCAAATTACTTATAGGGATCCTGAAGTAAGGGTTATTGGACTATTCCTAGTATGGTTTCTTGAGTGTCAAATTTTGGTAAGTGTTTTCGTAATTAAGTTTGGCAATTTTAGACGATTTTGGTCAAAATTGAATACCCATACCGAAAAGAGTTCTAGTTGTTCCGTGAGGGACAGCTGTAATAGTAAATCGTATTATAGTTTTGTTGGCCAGTTGAAATGCCGAGAACGGTGCTTGGACATTAACCTGACAACACAAAGCTAAATTCATGCTAATTATGGTCGATGCAACTCTAAAATGTTAAAAAGGCTTGAAGCAGGACCAATGGACTCCAATCCTACGTGGATCCTTGCATAAGTAAGACCATATGTAAATGCAAAGTAAAATGATTTTGAAATGAACAAATCTACTTCTACCAGAGACTAGACTTGAGATATGTGCATAAACTCCAATGATTTGGACTGAAATATTCCAGCTATTATTTCCATCCCTTTATGGTGAAAACTTTGTTTTATGTTCCTTCTAATTTGTTTTGATGTAAAATGCAAGAAAGACAAAGTTTTGATTCTGAAAGGAGTGGAAATATAGCTCAAATATTTCAGCCTGAAAAACATTTTCATCCATTTTATGGTGAACAAACAAATACAGCCTTAGCATTAATCGGTCTTATGGAACCTCAAGTTGGGAAATATGTGATATACACATTATTGAAGCCCCGGCCACAAAAATGTTTCAATTTATATCCAAACCCCATATCAGTAACATGTTGCATTATCCTCTTCTAGGTTTTACCTTGAAGTCAGCAGAGAAGTGTCTTGTGAAAATCAACTCCACTAATTTGTCTTTCAGTTCCGTTCCCCAGAGGAAAGCAAAATTTCCAACTTATAAAAGGTCACTTACAGTTCAAGCTGGGTACAGGTATTGCTTATTACCATATCCATTTTCTCAGTCTTTAGTTTTCTTATTATTCTAGTGTTTGATTGTGATCTAGCTATTCTGGTGCAATACTCAAGAGGATGTACTTGTGTTCATATTTGGTTAAAGGAACATTATTGAGAGTTGAATTTTTTGCCCTTCTGAAAAGTTTGAAAATAGCCTAATTGCCTATTCATCAGGCTGGAGTGGAATATTGGTGGGAGGAGAGTCAAGTGGTAATTGGCTGGTTTCTTTCAAGAACAGATGGCCCTTGGCCCCCGAGACATCTACTTAGAGGTTCTAAGTTCCTAGGGTTCAACATGAACGGTTCATCGAGATGGATCCCAAGGTTTTGGCAATGCTGCTGCTAATTCGTTAGCTAGGGGAGGGGTTAAAAGGGTTGACCTGGAATAGGGGGCATCTGACCTGGAATGAATTAATAAGCATGTCTTGCTCTAATTGATGTTTGGCATATATATATATATATATTTCTGTTGATTCCTTTTTTTAAACTTTTCAATAAACTGTTTGATTATTGTTACTGATAAAAAACTTGTTGCAGATTATATATTACTTTTCAGTTAATTTTGACTTTTCTATTTTGTATGAGTGTTTTCTGTTAATTTTTTTTGACAGGTAAAACTAAGATATATTAGCAAAAAGAGATAGATATACAATCTTCAACCCTGGGTATCCCATTGAAGTAATTGTTGCAGACAAAAAAGGGAGAAGGATGAGTTTTGGCAGCTTGGGATACCGCATGGGCTGTTAAGTTAGCATTCCTACTTATATACATAAACTTTACATAGTTCAAGTTTCCTAATAGCAAAAAAGTATTCAAAAACAGCCAGTGGCAAGTCCAAGGGTAGTCCTTGTGATCATTGAAGGCGCTTATCAGGCACTGGGAATCAGCACAAATGCAAACTTCATTAAAAGACCAACTCTGAAGTTCTTTAATCGCCTGCAATACAGCAAATAGTTAAACCTGAAGAACTGAATTGACTTCAGAAGTACGACCTCCTAAAATTTCTAATACAGATAAGTTTCTTGAGACGATAACAACTCCAAAAGTATAAAGAGAATGAGAAATTTTTCCTGCGTCAGTGAAAATGAGAAAGTCAGTTTGCTGAGTCAAGCTTATGGTTAAAACATTCTGACCTTGAGGATTTGGCAGGGAAGTAGGGCTAGGATGATTAGAGAGACGATAAAGAGTATTCACTAGCTTAGCCACTTTCTCCGGGTTAGTAACTGTATTATTAAAAATCAGATCATTCCTAGCCTGCCAGATAGAATACCAAGCGACAACTAACCAGCCGAGAATTTGCAAGAAAAGATTATGATTATTGACAAGATTATGCAAGATTTTAAAATTAGAAGCGATATCATCCCTGAGGCAAGGTGTGCAGATGCAGATTCCAAGGATTTGAGAAAAGAACAGCTTGGGCAAACTGACAATTAATGAATAAATGGTTTAAGGTTTCATCCTGATTTTTACAAAGGCCACACAAACTCTGGTCAATGTCCAGATGTAATGGAGTTCTGACAGGAATGAACTTGTTTAAGAGACGCCACATAAATCACTGGTATCTAGGAGGAACAGGCAACTTCCAAATGTGCTTTAAACAAAATTTCAAATCAGAGTTGAGAGTTGGCAAAGCATTTTGCAAATCTTTTTTATAATGAAATTTGATGGAGAATTTACCAGAAGAGTGATGAATCCAGATCCAAGAAATTTCAAATCAGTGTTTTCTGTTAATTTGGATCTTTCAAAGTCTATTCAATAGTTCCCATAATGCTTCTTTTGTCAGATATTCACCTGTTGCATTTATGAAGTTGTGCTGTATAACTATACTATTCTTAAGTGTTTTCCATGAACAATCCAGCATCTAACCAATGCTTTTTCATCCTTCTCCAGCAAAAGTCTTCCATCCCTCCCTCCTCTCCTCCCCTCTCCCCCTTGCAGCCCTTCTTGCACCCATGGACAAAATCTAAACACATGCGGTTGTCATCCCTGTCTGTCTCTTATTTCACAAGCACAATAAATCATCTCATTTATAATTACAGTTTTCTGTCTTTCTGTGTAACTGCAGTGTGGAGTGTGAACTGATTTCTTTACTTTTCAATAAACTTTTTGATTATGTTACCGATAAAAAACACTTGTTGCAGATTGTATCATATTTTCCTAGTTAATTTGACTTTCTCTTTGTATCATAAGCATGTTCTGTTAACTTGAATGTTTCAAAATCTATTTAAAAGTTCCTGCAATGCTTCTTTTGTCAGATATGCACCTGTTACGTTTTATGAAGTTATGCTGCATATTTGACCAGCTGTACTATTTTTAAGTGTTTTCTGTGAACTATTCAAATGCTTTTTCAGTCTTCCCCAGTTCCCTCCCTCCCCCCTCTCCCCTCTCCCCTCTCCCTTGAATCCCTCTCACACTTGTTAACAAAGTTGTTGTCACCTGTGTTTGTTTCTTATTTAACAAGCACTGTAAATCACCTTGTTTGTAATTACAGTTTGCTGTATCTCTGTGCATCTGCAGTGGAGATGGCGGAAAGACAAGCAGTGCAAGCAGCTTCATTGGTGGTTTTGTATTGGGTGGGATAGTGGTCGGAATGCTAGGCTGTGTATATGCACCTCAGGTGATCATTTGGGCTAGAAGTTCCTATTAGATTATCTTAACACATTATTACTTTACCTTCTCTCTCTCTCTCTCAAAAAAAAAAAAAAAACATTATTGCTGCACATGCTACTATTTTTGTTTTCTAGTACATTGACCACAACTTGGGTGGGTAATATACCAAAGTGACAGGCTTAATACGTAGTTACATGCTTATGTGATCAGGTATATGGGCAGTCCTACCCGTCTGAGGATCCTGTTTACCCATAGGACATCCTTAGAGACATCAGCCATACCCCTGCATATAGAGCCTTAGGAGTTAGGAATTAAGATAAACCATTTATAGTGCAATATACTTTTGCAAAACATGATTCCAAGACAATCTAAAATCTACTGTTGACAGCTTTAGACTTTCCTTTGGAGAGAGTATGTTCCCAGATATTCCAAATCAGTTTACTCAAGTATTCTATATTCAAATTCTTTAGGGCCATGGCTATTTGATCTTCTTCGGAGGGCCTCTTGAACACTTGAATCGCCTGAGCTCATCACCTAGTGGTGAATTCAGTAAATGATTATGTTTGTCCTTGTTGAACCAACTCTAGTACTTTTTGATCTGTGTGATCATGTTGTCCTAACCTGCAGAGATTAGTTTGATGCTTTTGGGAGGTTACTAAGATTGCAGGCAACAGCCTGTTAGGAAGTTTAGTTGTCAAATATTTTGTCCTTTAATTGGATTGATAGTTTAGCTAATATTTCTAACAACAAATTATATTATCTTATAGATCAGTAAAGCACTAGCTGGTGCCGACAGAAAGGATTTGATGAAGAAGCTCCCAAAGTTTATCTATAATGAAGAAAAAGCTCTAGAGGTGAGGATATATTCTCAATTTGTCATCAGTTTCAGACCTTTTTAGCAAGAATAGTTATTATTTTTTCTATAAGAAAGAACAGTTATTTTCATCATTAATCATTTTGGTTTCAATTCAATTTGTTTTTTTATATATGCTATGACAATCCATAAGCTGGTAAAGGCATGGTGGACAGGTGAAAATTTATTGCTGTTATTGGTAGTATAGTTGATCCTTGGTTCTTTTTGTTCTCTGTTCTTTATTTTCTTAATCTGAGCATACTTTCTAAAAGTTCCTTTACTTTGCTCGTCTTTAATTCGGATGTGATTCTCTAAGTTGAGGAAGTTTTACCTCTTAGTAGAGTTCATATTGCAAATGTATTGGAAACATAGTTGTCAGGGTGATGCCTTGGCGATGAGGCACTCATGGAGGGTCGCCTTGCTTAATCACCAATATATTTTTTACATGGTGCTCTTGGATACTTTTATATTCTTAACTTTTTGAGATTACAACAATAAAATAGACATTAAACTAAATTATTTAGTTTAAGTTAAAATACTAGTTTCTTTTTACTATTTTTTCTCATTTGTTGGGGTTTAATCAACATGTACATTGCCTTGAACCCTTGAAGAATTCAAAACTTGAACCCATAAGCATGGAAGAACTCAAAATTTTGTCCAATTAACACATTGATTTTCTTCTTTTTCTTTTCTCTTCTTTCATACATTGTTTTATTTTCTTCCTTTCCTAAGACAAAAATAGAGGCTCTGCCTTTCTATTTTCTGAAATTTCTTTTCTTTCATTTTTTCATGAATATGTTGATTTTCTATGTTTTAAATGAAGTTTATACATTTTTTATGAAGATTATAGACAATCAGTAGTGAATGATGGTTGTTGCTTGCTATGGAACCTGGGGAATTACCTTGGGATGTTAGGATTCATGGTTTTTAATCAAAAAGGTCCCATTGCCTAGGCGGCAACAAGGATCAAAATATCAATATTTCTGATACCCAAAGTTGGGTATTGATGTGCATTTTTATCACTGATACTCTATTTTTTTTTTATTTTATAATGATTGGAGGGATGCCTTTGATATTTGGGACATTTTAAAAGTTTTAAAATGTTTTTGTATCAGTGTATTCATGCATTTTGAGATCCATCAATACGTATACGATATGCCCGATATGGGGCATATTGTATCGTTATTTTAATCCTTGGGCGACAAGGTGCACTTCTACTGTTTTGGTAGTAAAATGAAAATTTTATTAATGAAAAGGAACATACAATCTGAGCAGGCCTCAAGGTAACACCAGGTATCTAGTCCAACTCAGAAAAAACAATCAGAATTACAAGTTTGTAACTCAAGCACATCCCAAAATCTATCCCCCAAATTTGATCTGCTAACTTGTGCAAATTCAGGAAGGATTAGCACACACTCTGCCACTGTTTTGCCTATGACCACCACCAGCCTTTCAATGTTCCAGTCTTTGTTCTCAAACAACATTTATTTTTATCTTTCTAGATGGTCCAGCAGATAACAAAGGGAATGCACCTCCACACTACTCTGTCCTTCTTGCTTCCTCTGAATAGACCTGTTCATGGGCCGGCCTTGGGCTTGGCTTTTGCTAAAATTTGAATGGGCCCGGACCAAAGCCCGACCTCGACACAGTGTTAAAGTCAGGCCTGAAGCCCGGCCTGTGAACAGGTCTACCTCTGAACTTTGGCTACAAGGATGAAAAACTCTCATACCAAAAAGAGAAGAATTGGATTTCCAAATGAAACCGGCAACCTTACAGGGAAAAAAAGTGGTAAATTGATTCCTCCTGCTCTTCACACATGTACCAAATACTGGCCATTGAAGCCCTTACTTTTAAGGTGATCTATGTTAGAATACCATCCATTGCAACCAGCCTTGCAAAGGCTTTCACTTTTGGTGGAACAAGATTACCCCAAACACCAACCACCTAACTTGTATCCATCTGGTTCTAAATTAAAGCTGAATAAAAGGACTTCACAGAGAATCTTCCATCCCCATATTTCTTCCACCAAAGTTCATCTCTAGTTGAACTTGAAAGCTTCAATTGTTCTAACTTATCCAATAACGAGATGCTGGGATTGGAGGTGTGTTCAAGGAGGAAGACGGGAATATACGATGGGCTTTCAGTGGACCCCCTTAGGGATTGCGGACTCTACAAAAGCTGAGGTCTTGGCTGCCTTAACAGGCCTTCAAATTGCTAAGAGGCTGGGTTTTGCATCCCTAACTATTGAAGGAGACTCTGCAAACACTATTAAATGGTTAGAGGAGAAGGATAGTGGCCCTTGGCGCCTAAAGCACTACCTGGCTGAAGCAAGAGATATTATGGCTCAGTTAAATGTAAGCCTTAAATGGATTCCTAGGACCCTAAATTCTGTGGCTGACAATCTAGCAAAATCAGGGATTCACAGGGACTTTTTGTTTAGTGATTGTATGTTACCCTGTAATCTCCCGGGAGAAGTCTTTTCCTTTCTTGTACATCCTCTCATGTACTCCTATTTCTTATATAATAAATTGTCATCCACCTCCCAATCAAGAAGTGGCCTTCTAAATTTAGGGCACCAGGCTAGTTGCTAACCTCTCATCTGATAGCATTGACTAATCCTAATGTCATTCTCAGCCAGTTTATAAAGCCTGGAACACAGCTCACTCAACTTTCCAACTCCACACCAATCATTTTCCCATATTCTTACTCTAGCACCATCCCCCACAAGAAACTTAGTTGAGTTCTTCAGTTCTTGTTTAAACATCATGAATCCTTTCCAAACACTTACCCCGTAAGAAGTAGACACCTCCCTCAATTCCCACCCAAATCTCACCACCCCATACTTCTCCACCACCACTCTCCTCCAAAGTGAGTCCCTCGCCTTCTCTAACTCAAACATCCAAAACCATTTTCTAAGCAATGTCTTATTGAGAGTTTTCAACCACCTATTCCCCAAATCCCCTCCTTTAGCCTACAAACTTTCTCCCAATTAACTAATCAGAACTTCTTACTTTCTTAGGACCCTCCACACCTTCCCAAAGAAAATCTTTTTGGATCTTCTCCACTCACTTTGCAACTTCTGTTGGGATTCTTAGCAAAGAGATATATAGGTAGACTTGATAGCATTCTCCTAATAATAGTGATTCTTCTCCCCAAAGAAAGGTATTTTGGCCTTCCAACTACCCAACCTCTTCTCCACTCTTTCAATAATTGGCTTCCACACTGTTTCCGAAAAGGACTTTGAACCAACCAACAAGATGCCCCCTTTCGCCTAGCCTCTAATCAGTGCCTTGAAAACCATAGTCAGAAATATCAGAAACGACATATAGAAATGTTATAAAAATTATAGACTTGTGGAAACATTGTGAAATATGCAAAAGTATATAATGCTATTTTATGTAACAATAAAAGATGCATATGCAGACCCTTTTAAATTATTATCTTGTTCCAAATCATCAAACAGAGGTAATTGATCAAAGAAAATAATACACTACAATGCTGTCCTGTAAATATAAGAGTCAAAACTATATAATGGATAAGAGAGAAGCAAAATTTATACTCATAGAAGGTGCAAATAATTTAGTATAGGTAGACCCATTTAAATTATTATCTTGTTCCAAATCATCAAACAGAGGTAATTGATCAAAGAAAATAATACACTGCAATGCTGTCCTGTAAACTTTAAGAGTGAAAACTATATAATAGATAAGTGAGAAGCAAAATTTAAACTCATAGAAGGTGCAAATAATGTATTATGCAATAAATACTAATAACCAACACCCCCTATCGCCTAGCCTCACCTTGATCCCCTGAAAAGTATGCCTCTAGAGTCCACTCCTTTACTTTGACAATCAAGAAATACAAGACATCTTAACGTGTTCACACCACCTACTTGTGACTGGTGATTTAATAAAAGGTATGCTTAGGCATACAGGTGAGACACATTTCTGGGTGCAACCCCTTTACAAAGGTTTTGCTCTATTTGTGTTTTTTAAGCATGTGGTGGCTTTGCTCACCAAAACTTCGAGAACTCCCTATTTGCTAATGTTGTTCATTCATTCATTCTAATAAAAGATATATATATATATATTTTTTTTTTTCTGATAAAAAAAAGATATTTTTTCTTTGAGAACAAGTGAAGTAATATATCTTTAAAGAAAAGAGAAAGCATGTACAACAAGCTGCTGTACACAGGGATTTACAAAACACTGCCCAAGCAGTCCTATACCCACCCTGCCCTGATTTACAAAAAGGTTATCATATACAAAAAAGGAGTTAAAATTTCTATCTTTAACCAACTTGTTTACAGAAAGCCAAGAACACATTTTGCCCACAATTTTCTGAAAAACTGGATCAGTGGTGCTACTTTTATTCTTGAAAATTCTTGTTTTCTCTCTTGCCAGATGCACCAAAAAGTTGCTGCTGGAGCCATGTACCAACCCAATTTCCCCCCCTTGGAAAGTCCTATACTCCAGCCTTGAACAAATTGCAATATTGATTCTAGACAGCAACCTTTCACTTCGAACAAACTCCAAATTTTGGACCAAACCTCAGCAGAAAATCTGCAATGCAATTGCAGATGATTCACAGATTCCTCTTAATAAAAGATATTTTTAAAGGATAGTTAACATTAAAATCATTTTTTGTAGGGATTAAGAATTTAAAACCCTAACATGGACTTGTTTGGGCTTGCCTCAAGAGAAAGGTGGCTCATAGGATTTGGACTGAAAGATCATCATATTAGTTATTTAAAATAATGCAACTGGGAAAGATATGAAGAAATCGAAAGTTTAGTATGCTTGAATATGTTGTATATGTTATTTTTTGCATTTTCACTTTAAATATGTTTTATATGTAATGTTTATGTATTTTAATTTGAGCTAATAGGCTTTTTAAAACATCTTGTTTAAAATCAAAGCTTGTTTTTTAATCAATACTATTTTTGATATTTTTAATTTATTTTGAAAATTTTTACTTATTTTGCATTTTTTCGATTTTCTT